CATGAAAGAAATAATTGATAATATGGGCTTCATTACAATTAGAAACATCTGCTCTGCAAAAGACACTGTGAAAAAAATAAGACAAGCCATAAACTGGAAGAAAATATTTAGAAAAGACATATCTGATAAAGGATTGTTATATAAAATATACAAATAATCTTTAAAACTCAACAATAAGAAATTTAACAACCTTATTTAAAAATATGCAAAAGACCTGAACAGGTGCCTTACCAAAGAAAAACATAGAGATGGCAAATAAGCATATGAAAATATGTTCAACATCATATGTCTTTAGATAATTGAAAATTAAAACAACAATGACATACTACTACCACCTAATACAACAGCCCAAGTCTAAAACACTGACAACAACAAATACTGGCAAGAATGTGGAGCAACAAGAAGTCTCATTCGTTACCGGTGGGAATGCAAAATGGTACTGTCAGTTTTGAAAAGCATTTGGCAGTTTCTCACAAAGCTAAACTCTTATTATATGATCCAGCATTCAAGCCCTTGATATCTACCCAAAAACGCTGAAAACATATGTCCGCACAAAAACCCGCATATGAGTGTTTGTGGCAGCTTTTTCATAATTGCCAACATTTGGAATCAGCCAAGACGTCTTTCAGTAGGTGAACAAACAAACTGTGGATAAATAAATAGACAAGTACATCCAGACAACAAAATATTATTCAGGGCTAAAAGAAAATGAACTATTAAGCCATGAAAATATATGAAGGAATATCAAATGCATATTACTAAGTAAAATAAGTTAATCCAAAAAGACAATATACTGTATAATTCCAATTATTTAACATTCTGGAAAAGGCAAAACTGTGGAGACAGTAAAAAGATCAATAGTTGTCAGGCATTGGTGATGGCAGGTATGGATGAAAAGGAAGAATTCAGAGGATTTCTAGAGCAGTAAAATTATTTGGTATGATACTATAATTGTGGATATGTCATTAAACATTTGTCAAAAACCACGAAATGTACAAGTGCCATCCCTAATGTCAACTATGGATTTTGAGTGATAATGATATGTCAATATAGGTTCATTGATTGTAACAAATATTCCACTGCTGTATGGGATGTTGATAGTGAAGGAGGCTGTGGATATTGGGGGCAGAGGGCATATGAGCAGTCTCTACAAATTCTGCTCAATTTTGCTATAAACTGGAAAGTACTTAATAATCAAATACATTGAAAAAAGTTTGGGGAACCAAGAAAAAATCCAAAAAAATTGATATAAAGTTAAAACAAAACAAAACTAAAGCACACACACACACAGAGGGAGATAAAGACAGAGAGAGAGAGAGAGAGAGAGAGAGAGAGAGAGAGAGAGAGAGAGAGAGAGAGAAATTAAATATTGACCTTTACTTTCCTTCAGAAATAGAGCACTTTAAATAGACCTGGGAAAGGAAGCCTGTGCTGCCACAAAAACGGTTTTATGTATCCTTTTGTTAACTTTGAAATATGCTCCTGGACCCCTTAGCCCAAGATATAAAATCTATAGGCTTGGGTTAGGCCTTCACTTGAGATTTGTTTATAGTTTTTCCATATGATCTTCTGTCACTCTACTAACGTTCTATCAGCTATAAATTTTCCACTTGGAAATTCCTCTTGATTTTTGAACATGAAACCACTGCACGCTATGGGCAACTTGGGATTTCTTTTTCAATTTCCTCAAGACTAAGGAATATGTCCTACCACTTAGACTATAGCCATGCATTAGCAATCTACAGTTTCTGCCTTTGACAGCTGACAGCTCAGCGAGGGAAAAAATAGTATTTTGAAAGCTGTGGGAATTCAATCATCGACTATTCTCTGATGGGCTCTCTTCCAAGGTATTGGACCTGATTAAAGGAAATGTTACTTCTGGAAGTATGCATTGCTATCAAGTAAAAGACACACACACAGAGCCACAGCCAACAACAAAACAGCATATGGTTATGACCGTTCCTTATTCGACCTCAGCCATCCCACAATCCTCTATTTTTTCACATTTATTTTCTTTCATTGTCAACTCTGTGTGTGTGTGTGTGTGTGTGTGTGTGTGTGTGTGTGAGAGAGAGAGAGAGAGAGAGAGAGAGAGAGAGTTCAGGAGTTTTTGTGCTGGGAATCATCAGGCCAAATATAAAGTTCAGATATAATGAAGTCACTCGCTATCCTTTATTATAGTCAGAAGAGCCAGAAATAGGTCAAGAGACATTTGCTTGCATAAAAAGACATGAGCCCAAATCTAGGAATGTCTATTGATACAAGAAATAACAGAGTTATTTTAGATATAATAACACAAGAGTTCCAGAATCCTCAACTTAGATGTTTGGAAGTAAAAAATAACACCAATAATTCGAGACTTATTTCCTCTCATTTGTATCTTGAGGAAATAGGGCAGAAGGTATGGAAGTAAAATGTGTTAAAAGTGGAAGGCTACTTGGCCTCAAAGCTGTAGGCACATGAAGGCAGTTTTCTTTCTTTTTGTTTTTAAGGATATGAGAATAACTAGTGCTTATACACAGGAGACAAGAGTCAAACTCACATTTTAAAGTCAGGAATATATGAGAGCTCTCCAACTGGTAAAAGATGGCTAAAATACAAGTGCAAATGATATTCATCAGCTGACATGATAGCTTATATTATATGAGGCTGTTTTCTGAGGAGACACCAGGAAGAAGGCATAGCCCCATAACCTCACCAGCCAGAGCCTAAGCTCAGCTGCATGATGGCTCTGTGACTGGATTCACAATGTTTTCATTCTACCTCTCAATGAGGTCCCTGAGCTGACTCTATGAGACCAGGTGTTATTATAGCAACCTTGATGGCTCGTGTAAAGTTTACTTCATAACCAACAGAAAGAGAAATATGAGTGTAAGTTAGCATAATACAGAGAGAGAAAGAGGAGAAAAATCCCATTTAAGATGATCCTGCAAATCAGAACTTAATAAAACAGCAAGAAAGAATCATATTCAAAAGGCAGCTGACAAAAATAACTTTCTAAAAAAATTTTAAAAGAATATTCAATTTCTTGAAGGCATATATGAAGGAATAGCATTAACAAAACTAATAAAGAATACTGATTAATCAGCAAACAAAAATTTTTTTAAAAAATTGATATATAAGCAGAATCTATTAGAAGTCACTGAGACTGGAAAGCAGTACTGAGCAATTCACCCATAATGCAACCAGAATACTTCAAAAGATAAGTTGTTCAAAGCTATAGAGAATTCAATAGCAGCCTCCAATATTTATTCACTAGGCATTCAGTAAGAAGATACTAGAGAGAATGGAAGAGAAGTAATATTAGAAGTGATAATGACTTAGAATTTTCCAGAACATAAGAAAGACAATAGTCAACAGATTAAAACAGGCATGTTTTACTGAGTGCCAAGTAGACAAATCAAAATAGATTTATAACTATACACATTATAGTACAATCTATGGAACATCAAGGCTAAAGACATAAAATCTGAAGAACTAGCAAGTAAAAAGACAAATTTTGTATATATAGATGATGACAAATAGCAGACTTCTCATTAACAACAGTATAAGCAAGAAAAGAACAGACTAGTAGCTTCAGAATGTTGATTGAAAATAACCATCATTATGGCATTATATAGTCAACGTATCAGTCAAGACTTAAGAGGAAGTAAGGGAAAAAATCAATTAGACCTGCAAAATCCAGTGGGAGTTTATCACCCACAGACTTTCTTGAAATAAATAATAAAGGAGGTGCTTCCACATTAAGAAAAGTCAACAGTACAGAAGTCTGGTGCAAACAAAAAGATAGTACAATTTAAAAAATACTGAAATATATTTGTAAATTTAATTCAATATTGTCTGTAAAATAATAACCAATTTTTCACTTAAAGCATGTAGAAAACAGCAGAGGGTACAGAAAATTCTACTAAAAAAAAGCAAAAAAAAAAAATAGAAAAATCTATTTATCTAAACATATTAACAGCAATAAACGATAACTGAGTAAGTTTGTGGCAATACAGTCTCTTAAATTGGACTTTTAAAATTCTAGCTACATGCAACTTGCAGGAGTTACTTCTTGGACACACATTTATAGGATTCTTAAACAAAAATAGGACGTATAGACAGGATAGCAAATGTAAACAAAATTAAACCAGAAAATATATTACAATATTAAATCAGATAAATAGAGTTTTAAGAAAAAGACGTCAGCAGTTATAAAGGGTAATATTACAATTAAGAATAATTCAACAAATGTGAGTTAAAACAGTTGCTGCACTAATGGTGTAGTCTAGGCACCTGGCCAATGTTAGACAAACTTCATCTGGAAGTATAGCTCAAATACCTTCAAGACTTCATCATCAGAAGACTACTGGTGGTAGTCTCTCCCTTATCCTTCTCCTCCTATTTCACATGCCTCAACACCTGAAATCTCATTTTTTTTTTTCTGGAAAGTATAGGTTCTTCCATGTTGAATACGCCCATTGTAAATATTAAACAGCTCAGCATAATAAGTTAAGTGACCCATGATGCTAAGATATCAAATGGCTACAAATGCAATCTTCAGCTGTAAGGTTTGGCTCAGAGAAGTGCTTCATGAAAGAACAGCAGAAATACTTTTGGAAAAGAAAAGAGAAAGTGATTCTATTACATCTCTTTTTATGATGATAATTTTTGATGGAAAAGCCATCTTATCAGTAAGGAATTTCTAATGAGAAGAAGGATATTGAATCTCTCTACATCTTTCTACATTTCTTTCTGTTGTTCATAGTATCTTCAAACATAGAATAAAATTTGAATTAAAAAATAATAAACTGCCAAGAACATATCAGACAAGAGCTACTTAATTTCTTTTTGCTAACAATATATTTTTCTCTTTAAAATTCCAAAATGAAGACTAAATATAGCATTATTGCTAAGAGTAACAGAAACATTTCAGTTTATTCTGCTGCACTAAAATGTGATTTCGATGTAAATATAACTTATATTTTCAAATATTAACTTCAACTGCACTCACAAACCTTTTGTTCTCAGGGGATACATACTGCAGCGATACAGTTCAAGAACACACGGATATTCAAACCAGGTATACCAGTTGCTAGAAGACCTACAACTCTACATTTCATAACAGAGAAAACACACACGTTATAATGTGACCCAGGCAGATCTGCCTTCAGTTATCAGAATTGATGTGGCTTCTAATGAACACAGATGTTCCCCAACAAGTTGATCTTTTGTCTTAGGCTGTACTGTGTTTCTCCATTAGAAGCCGATTTTATTCCTTCTGTCAATCTTTGCCCTGTTCTTCATTTCCACTGGTGCGATATAGGTTTTCATTTTTCTCTGCCTCTCAATTGGTTTTTCTTCTACTCCCTCTCTGCCCCAGTGTCTCATTTGCATTATAGACAGAGCAGTACTTCTAATGTGTAAAAGTGACTCTATTGCTGCTTGCTTTAAAGTATAATTAGATGTATAAAATACAATGTGCAAAAAAACAAGCAACAACAACAAAAAACAAAAACTGTGTACAGTTGAAATTCCTTGGCATGGTATGAAGTCTTCAATGGTGTAACATTTCCATATGCCTGTCAAGTTTCTTCTACTGTCCCTACCCCAAATGTATGACATATAACCAGACCTATTTGTTAACTTTTCTCTGAATACATCAGTGACTTTTATTTGTCTGTCTTTGAGCACTCTGTTTCCAAAGCTGAGGATCTTTTAATCATTTTCAACTTACTGTAACTCCTCCAAGGTACCTTCTTGTGAATAGTCATGGCCCCTAACAAGAGGAATTAACTGTAACCTACAATGCTATTCCATAACACTATGCTCATTCCTGTTTTGTAACATCCCACTATTAAACAGGTCAGCTGGGTGAAAAATGCAGAACTACAGGCTAAAATAAAATGTAATGATCAGAGCTGGGCAAGTTGATACAGTGCAAATACAATTAAATGCAGATTTTTTATTGAATCTATTTTCCCAGGATATGGAGACAAGATTGCTTCAGTTTTGCTTCCTGTTTTAGCTTGGTACTGGTCCTGAAGATTTGGCAGGTTGTAGAATACATTCACAAGTGAGGAAGATGACTTAGAAGCTCAGAAGCAAGGAGGGCTCCATTTAGATCTACACACTAGAGTGTATATTAAATATGACACTAGATAATTAAGCTTTGAACTTAACCCCTGTCAGTTACAACTCCTGTGACCCCTGAGTAATTTACATATTCTCTCTGCACCTTATTTTTATAACTATAACACAAAATTAGCAATAGTGCCCATTTCATAGCTTATTGTGAATATTCAATAGATAGCTTTAATTTTATATAATTTTTAACAATTATATAATAATTTTATATAATTATTTAATAATTATATAATTTTATATAATTAAATAATTATATAATAATTTATATAATTCTTTAATAATTATATAATAATTTTAATTCTTTAATAATTATATAATAATTATTATTTGTTATTTAATGCCGCCTTGACCGAATTTGAGGCTTTGGCTAGAGACTGGTTCATTCCCCTTCTTAAGCAACTGTTTAAATTTGGTTGCACTTTCTTTGTTGGGTTCTTGCATTCTGGGGCCACTATGCACCAAGCTTGACTACCCTAAGGCCAGGTACCACAGGATAGGCCCTATGCCCTGGAGTCTGTGAAATTACTCATTATTCATTTTACGGGAATCTTGGGAAACCTAGATAACTTCTCCTCACTTGCCATACATGAATTGCCTCTCGCAATAACAACTTGCTGTTATCCCAACCTCGGGTGCTATCACCTGTGTGACCCTTGGTGGCAGTCTTCTCTTGTTTGGAACACATAGTAACAAAGATTTCTGCCTGTCAACTATTTGAGTGTCAGAGTGTTGTGTTTCATCACCAAAAGAATTTTTAAATTTTATAAAATAATAAATACATGCTAAAAACCATGAACAAAGTTGATTTTCAACTTTACAAGCGGAAGAAACATGATTGTTACTAGTCCACATGTTTTTATTCTATGTATTCAATAGCAAGGCCAACTGAGAGGTAAGCAGACTGGTTGTAGTATACTTGAAAGCCTCTGACATAGTATTGAAATCTTTGCCTCTAGACCAGTAGATCATAGAAATGTCTACTCCATCATCTAGATTTTCTCAAGGGGTACTTTGCTAGTATTATTTGTGTGGTTCAAGAAATAATAGAAATACCAGGCACAGAAATTGACAAGATACATTTTATTTATAGAAATTGAGATGATAAATGATACTCTAATTCTCATGCTTATGCAATTCCATATTTCATACTAAGACATGCATAGATTTCATTAGAAAAAACATTAGGAGATCAGAACAAAACCCACTGCTACAACAGTTACTTTAAAATTAGACCATCAACCATTATTTTCTCATCAGGAAAATGGTCACTACCTTGGAAACACTTTTGGTAGAATGTTTGCTATAAAATGCCTCCCAGAATGTTATTTACATCATACATGGGAATATATCTTTATTACAGTTTACTCTGTGGTTTCAATTTTCCTTAGAATAAAAAATACAAGAGTAAACCTATATTCATGCTTATTGGCATCACCAGTGGCCATTTACCTTTATTTAGATCTCTTTTTCTGTTCAACACTCTGATGCTAACTTTAACAATAAGTATAAACTGTTAATTGAGCACTTCTACTATCAGACAATATAGGCATTTAGATCTGTGTAGTAGAACATAGACTGTTAATTATTATAACATAGTCCCTCAGTATGTTCTATGAAGCATTTTTAATGATGTATCCCATATCTGATATTTATCCCCATCTTCATTCTCTTTGATGTTAAAAGGAAATAGCTCTGTGAAAACCTACCCTTTGCTGTCTACTCCGAAATTCACTCTACCACGCCTCCAAGTCATTGCATTTTTAATGTTCTACACATTTTTTATTTCCTTTATCCATATAGTTGCATTATTTCTTTTTTCCTCTTTTCTTCTCCTGAACAAATACTTCTCTCAAAGCTAAGTTCTTGAGTTTGTACTTTAATGTTTACTCTTTTCTTTCTCATGTGACTGACCCTTGTTAAGGCAGAGCCTGTGTAAGTCTTCACCTCCATGCTGATTACCATTTTCTGAATGGACCCTTTTATTTTATGATTCCATTATCACTTCACACTCAACAATAACTAATGGAATGCTGTTCTTGGATCCTTGCATTTCCCCAAATTCAGTCAGCATTATATTTCTATAATACAGATTTTGCCTTATATTCCTTTGATTTATACATTTTCACTGCCTATATGGTCCAAAATCCATTGTATGCAGAAAATGGAAGTATTTTCATGGTCTGATTAAAGTCTAACATGTTCATTATTTCTCCAAATACTTTCTTAAAATACATGTATGAAATTGTGCACTTTTTGTCTATTTCTTCTTGTCTTTAAAAATCCTCTAAGCATTCTTCATCTGTGAAGACTTCCTTTCCCCAAGACATTATATTAAGAACTTTTATTTTGTTACTCAGTTATCTAATACTTGCCTGTATTTTAACATATGTCACATTATATTTCAATTAATATTGTGCATGTCTTTCCTTCTACAGAGAATTATTTTTAAGAGTGGTGCTCATAACCTTTCCAAATATTTAACTATTTCCCCACTGTCTGGCAGAGCTCTTTGTCATAGTAGGTACTAGCTAAATTTTTACTGAATGAAAGAATATAATTTGAATGTATAATGCTATATTGATGTCATTGGGGATGAGTAAATAGAATAAGGTGTTCCTGAGAATAGATTACCTGCGTTCAATTCCCTTGATCCTGAATCTCTCAATTTTTACTGCAGGTTCAAGATAGTTATATACTTTTCTGTGTGACAGGTACTAAGTTTTCACAGTGTAAAAATTGTGGTTGAATTCTCCCTTTGACTTGGATCCTGAAATCTTCTGACAAAGTGGTATTAAACTATAGCTAAAATGTAGCTATACAGCTTTTTAAACCATCACTGAATTTTCCATTAAGATTCAACTACAGTACATGATCTTTTAAAGAGTGACAAAGACTATATTTCTGTTACATAACTAGGGCTTATCACACTGAAAAACAATCGAAACCATTCACATTCTTTCCCTATCACTTCTGGGTAGAAGAATTATTTTCACCTCAGCTGTTTTATATTGGCTACATGTGCAGAATCAACACATTGAAGACTAAGTTTAATTTGTTCATTCTCAGGAGAAGCATAAAGGCTATCCATTGAGAGACTGGATTCACAAGTATATTCCAATCAAAGATAGTTTGGTTTTATCTTTTATGCATAAGTATAACACCATGCTATATATTCAGCTAAGACATATTACTTTTTTTGTCATATGCAGGGATATAAAACACAAAAAATACTTACTCCAGCAATGGTGTCTTTCAGCTGTCTCTGAAAGGTAGCATATGTATGAATTCATGAACAGATTGCAAGTTACAAATCTCGCGTTCTGTCATTTTCAGTGTCAAATGCGTCCAATGCCAAACACATCAAAGCTAGTCAAATCATTATGAAATTATTGGTAAGGCTCTCTGTTGCTTTTCTATTGGTACCATAACAAATTATCACAACCTTAGTGGCTTAAAACAAGATTCATTTGTTACTTCATATTTCTATTTGTTAGAAGTGTAAGTACAGTTGGAACCTCTGTGCAAGCTCTTGTAGAACTAAATCAAGGTGTTGGATGGGCTGGCCCCCTCTCTGGAGGTCATAGGGAAGACTCTGTTTTCATGATCACTCAGGTTATTGAAAAAAATCCAATTCCTTGAAATTGTGGGAATGAGGCTCCTTTCATTTTTCAAGCAAACAAACATAGGGATAAAATTGGAATCTCTATCCTTCAAATGTCCAATTTCCCTTCTGCTACCAGCCAAGTAAAATCTTTTAAGGATTCGTATGTTTATATTAAGCCCGTATGAATAATCCAGGATAATATTTGAATTTTAAAGTCAAGTAATTAGTTAATTATATCTGCAAAGTACCCTTTTCTATGTGTTCACAGGACTAACACCAGGAGGTCAAGATTATAGGTGCCAGAATTATTCTTACAACAGGCTCTTAACTTGAAATGAGTATAAGAAA